GACTTTTACTAAATATCGGTAGCATATATATTTATTGATTTGACGTGTCATCAGACTTTCACTAAATATCGGTAGCATATATATTTATTGATTTGACGTGTCATCAGACTCAACAAATATCGGCAGCATATATATTTATTGATTTGACGTGTCATCAGACTTTTACTAAATATCGGTAGCATATATATTTATTGATTTGACGTGTCAACAGACTTTTACTAAATATCGGTAGCATATATATTTGTTGATTTGACGTGTCAACAGACTTTTACTAAATATCGGTAGCATATATATTTGTTGATTTGACGTGTCATCAGAATTCTCACTAAATATCGGTAGCATATATATTTGTTGATTTGACGTGTCATCAGACTTTTACTAAATATCGGTAGCATATATATTTGTTGACTTGACGTGTCATTAGAATTCTCACTAAATATCGGTGGCTTATATATATATCAGTTGATTTGAGGTATCATCAGACTTTCGCCAAATATTAATAGCATATACATATGCCAGTTAATTCCTATTATTTTCATTAGAATAATAATCAATTACATATAACTTTAGTTTATCTTTTTATCGTAGCAATTGATACAATATATGCAATCGATTTTATCATTGAGATTCGATCTTCATCTACACTAAATAAATATATATTATAGATGATATAATTTATTCTTAGCGTAATTAAAATTGTATTTCAATTATTAAACAGGCTGATTTGTAAAAGAAAGAAACATTTGATTGAAATCTTATTTCCTTATTCTACTAAAGATATTTTACCAGAGGGAGATTTTGTACAAAAGTCGTTTGCATGGATACCTCTGTCCTATGCATGTTTCTACTGTGAAGCAGTTGTGTTTGCATAACTGAGTTTCGTTTACAGGGTACAGAGGAATAACACCTGAGTCCTCAGGAATGGCAACACATGGAGAGTATTATGGGCGAAACAGTATACTCTGTTATGTTCATGGTACTGTTCATGTCTATTGGCGACGATTACTATTTTGCATCAGGAGGGCTACCAGATTGTTTGCCTATCAAAGTAGCATAAAAAAGAATTCAAAATAAAAAAAAAAAATTTGAAACCCTATTATTAAATACAAACATAAGTTTCAAGGAATAGATTTCTTTATTTAACATACTGGTTAAAATTAGAGATATTCGAGAGATAAAATTAGAAATATATATATAACATAAAGAGCGCAAGAGCCGTCTAGAATCTAGACTAAACACAATATGTGCATATCATGTATTATACTGTCCTTCTGTTTAATTATGTCATAAAAATGTTTATTGCGTTTATACATACCACAGCTGTATGTATATAAGCATTCCATTACCAGAAGACAAGAATGTTACAATTGATATTAATGTTTAAAATTAGAATCATAGTTATTATATGTAAAGCTGTTAATAATATAATTTGTGGAAGCCATTGTTTACATATTTGACATGCGGTACTTTCCAGTAACGTTTTATATTTTTAAACGACATTTTTTTTTGTTATTATACATCGAAGTTATTTTAATAATTTATTTTCTTTACACACGTGTAACTGTAATTTGTTTGATGATAAAAACTGGCGTTTTGCTTTTGGGGAATAAAATACTGCTTCTAACGAAATTTGTATTTTTTTAAATCGACTCTAAATAGAAGGATGCTTTTAATTCGGTTTTTTTTTTGTTTGTTACCTCATAACTCTTTGGTTTTAAACTTATTTGGAAAAAATATTTTTTACCTGAAAAGACCTAACAGATTAATGCCATAGAAATTTTATCAAAATCCGTTTAGTTACGTTAAACAACTGGTTTTGTCATAATTGAAGGTAGTTCTTTTGTAGGGCTCAATCTTTAATATATTTCTGGCAAATAGCCTATGAAACCATCTGGTAGAAGTGGGAATCTACACTTAATTCAAGTATTTTCGATATTATTAGTTTAACAAACATTCAGTCGTCCATCAACGTGTTTTATCACTATTCATTTTTTCGCAAGTACACTATATAAGAATTAAATTATATAAGAATCTATTATCAGACGATAAACTAATTAGTACAAATACTTACATAACGACATTGCAGATCATTGACTCCAATCACTACGGTCATTGTAAACAAAGCGTGACACATAGAACGCGCGCCTGACATTGTGACGTACAATCATAATTAGGATATATACTTTAACACGTGCCATAGATGCTTTATCAGTTAACATTAGTACAAATCACTCTTTACGTTTTCTATATTTCCTTATTAGATATTAAATAATATTATCACTTATAACTAGAGTCATGTGTAAAGTGAAAAATTTCTAACAAATTACTTGTTAAAGATTAACAAAACTTAACCCCCTTATTTATAAAAGAATTAAAAAAAAAATTTAAATAATGCTAATGAATCTGATATCACCATGTTATATCATAATATTCTATTACATGTTTATGAGAATTTAATGAGATATTAAGCATATGTAATCTATCCCCCTTGTTCATAAACCTCCTATAAACCTGTTTAAACTACTACACTGTTTTGCCACTTTCATTCTAACTGAGAATTTTACACAAAAGAAAGAGAGAAAACAGTTCAATAGCTAATATGGGTATATGTCAGGTTTGACGTTTTTATGAAAAAGGGGGCAATCTTAGAATCTACCAGACGGACACTTTGTACAAAAGGTGTTTACTTGGACACATCTGTCCCATTCATGTTTCTACCGTGAAGCAGTTGTGTTGGCATTGGGTGTGTTTCGGTTTGAAGGATGGGATATGGCAGTGAATTTACAGAATACAGAGGAATAATATCCGAGTCCTCAGGAATGGCAACACATAGGGGGTATCATGGGCGAAACAGTATACTTTTTTATGTCCATGGTATTGCTCATGTCTATAGACGACGATTACCACTTTCCATCAGGTGGGCCGTCAGCTTGTTTGCCATTCTAAGTTGCATAAAAAAAATGAATACAAAATCTTTTCCAAGTTACAGACACCTTGGAACAAATTTGATTACATTATTATTTCAGGTTAATTTCCAAGCTATTCCATTTAAAAGTCATCATAGTTAATTCCCTCTTTAATATATTAAGATTATTTGTAAAAGATTATCCTAGCAATAAACCTACCTTCATTTTTTATTTATTTATAATTAATTGTACACAAAAAATACATTGTTATAATTTATATTAAATGAAGATGTACATACAACAGGCAAGGTTAACTCTGTAAGAGTTCTCTTCCAGCAAACCCTGAGTGGAAAGGAGCATTATTACCATCTTTTGTACCCTTATATATATATATTAATCTGTACTTTATGCTACTGTATTTCACTTGAATTTGTCATTGTATATTTTTGTTTCTACTGCAATAAAGAGTTAAATAAATAAATAGATCTAACTTCATTTTCCACTAGTGCTCCGACTGGCATTAACATTATATCATTAACATATATTATTCCACTAATTTGGACAGTTGCATTCTATCTTTAAATATTAACAATAATGGACATTAAACTTTTTTAACCATTATAAATTTCCCAAGCTATTAATTGGTCTACCAGCGTTTCAAATTATTTTGTTGGTAATATTAGTTCATCTGCAAATATCATCATTACAGATTTGGTTATGCAAAACTTCGAACATAGCCTTTTTTATAGCTTGTTGAGTAATATAAAGTTTAAGCTCAAAGAAAGAGAAACAGATTGAGCTCGGACTGAACTTTTATGGCTAAGCTCGTGTTTGGTTGTTCTATGTAATGCCTGAATGCATGATATAATGCATGATGTTCTAAAATGATGAATATTTTTTTTTCTCAACCAAAAGCAAAAAAAAAATAAAGTAATTGTTAAACAGAAATGGCGCGAAAGCCACGTAGACATAGATCATGACGCGTCGACAAAAGTGTCAAAGAACAATAATGCACTGGGTTAAATATTTTAATTTCCACGTATTTAGAAAATATTTTATTATGGGGAAAAAGGATGGTTTGTGATAGTAATGGGTATTATATTAGAAGTCCCATTGTTAGCAATATACTCAGATCGATCTCCATACGGTTGTCACTACATATTTCCTTTTTGTCAATCTTATCTAAGATTGAGGATGTTATAAATATAAATATTGCAGTATAATGCTTTCTTATGCAATTTACAGAAATTAATTGAAATATTTTGGCCACGGGAAAAGATCCCGTGGGTACCGTAAATAGCAACTAAAGGAACTTAATAGTGGAGGAATAGACAGCAATCCTCTTAAAATATTACCAAAGCCTAACTGCGGTTGCCAACCCGCCTGCCAAGCATGGTTATTACTGGCAAAATCTTCTTTATGAGGGAGGCCTATGCTCAACAGTGGAGAATTACTGATATGATGGGTTGAGATATTATTCGTAAATGATTTTTGTAGTAAACTACAGTACCATTATCTACTGTATCATAATTTAAATAGGTAGACATAATCTAATCTTAATTGTATCATTACGCAGTAATACCTGCTATCTCTGCACGAACATTAGATATTTAAATCAAAGTTAGGCTCCACTTATAGTTTTAGGTAAATACTAGCTGCTAGTTAACCTCTATTCTACAAACGATGAAAGTTCTAATGAAAAAACAAAGTTGGTAAATTTATAATAACACGGATTTATGCAACGGTTTCCTTCGATAAAAACCCAAGCGCGCGGGAATTCCGATTTCAATGTAAACGGATAGAATGCACACTGATACAAAAAACATTATATGACCTCTATCAATTGACTCGATGTCTCCTCCGTCGCCATACGTGCTTTAAAGAGCAGGGGGCAGGGAAGTTCCTTCTGAAACTATATACAATGAACCGAGCGTGTTGTAACCTGCTCGGAGATATGTCCAACTCACACATAGATTTTTATCGTAAACGCACGAGGTTTTTCAAAGAATTTGTCCTGTTGAACGCCGCGGCGCCACGCACACATTGAAAATCGCGCACGCGTGGTGGTCTCTATAAAAAGGCCGACTGCGTCACAGACAAACATTCCGTCTAAAGCATTGGAAGCGAAACCACGTCTGTTGCCCTCGTGAAGTTGTGAAATTGTTGTGACATAAGTTACGGTACCGGCGTTACATTCGGATCCTGTTGGTACGCGTTTGGATTGCATAATTATTGTGTCAAGTGCAAGTGATAAAGTGACAATTCCGACCTACCGGAATAAAGTTACCAATATTAGTGATCATTATAACCTGAAAAGTATAAATTTAACTAACAAAATGTACAAAGATTCTGTAGTGCCAGTGAAAATGGAGACGTTTAGTGGAGTGGCAGCGAAATGGTACTTATCTATTTCATTATATCTATTTCACTAGTTTGTTGTATTTAAACCAATAACTTGCCCATAAAGCCATTCGTTTTGTTTTTCTAAAATATGCTTATTTTGTAGTTATTCAAGTTTCTTACCTTATAAACTCCAATCTCAGATTGCACAATATTAAAATTTTATAGAAATTAAGTTAATTATAATGAAGGAACATGTAACATTACACTTGACTAGTCCCGACCTTAGATTGGAACTAACTAAACGAAGAGTTTTTATAAAATAATATCTTGAGTTTGATGGTGAATGACAATAAAATGCATTAGACAATTTCAATACCCTTGACACAATCCTCGATAGTATAGTGGTCAGTATCCCCGCCTGTCACGCGGGAGACCGGGGTTCAATTCCCCGTCGGGGAGGAGCAAATTTTTGTATACTTAAGTTTTACATTTCATATTTTACTAATAAATGCTTTTTTTTTCTTTTCCAGCCCCATCGGCCAGTGTATTAAAACGGTACTACGGCGAGCATACGTTGAGCAGAGATTGACTATTGGCCTTCTTCCAGCTATTCAATATTTATCAAAGCACAGCGATGGCGCCCTATTCTGCCTTACAGCAGAAGCAGCTCCTGGTGACAGTGCAACTCACATGCAAGAAGTTTTATTGCAGGCATTTTGCACAGAGAACGATATCTATGTTATTAAGGTAAATATTTTTTCTTTTTATCTTTAATATCTTTTTTAGATATAAGTTCACTTTTGTTAACGTTGGCTATCCAATTATAATTTGGTATCTAATTATAATTTTATTTTCTTCTATAGTGTAGCAAAAAATATTATAATTTCACATAGTATAATAATTATGCATCGAAAACAGAAAGAATGGAATAAATATAGCTAATGCAAAACTTATAGTTACTTGAAATCGTTACATATCTAGTTATGTGATTTTATCGTTACTTAACTAATTTGTTTTTCTTTTGTCTCCAGGTTGACTCACAAGAAAAACTGAAGAAATTGCTGGGTCGCTGCACTTCCTCAGACTACAGCTGCATTTTGGTACACTATCCATATGCAGACCCATTCACAGACAGCCAAGAGATGGACCTCTCTATACTTACTGAATCAGAGAGAGACCTGGTCGAGCATTGCGAAGAAAACTGGGGATATTCGCAGTTACCAGTCATCAAGTTACCTGAGAAGTGAATTGAAAATAAAGAAAATAGTATTGAGAAAAAAAAAATAAGCGCGCCATCGACTGACCGCTCGTGAGGCCGCTGACCGGCTATTTTCGCGACTTTGGCGTAATAACGCCATCTAGTATTCAATAATGGAACTTTGTTCTTTTGTCCTTTTTCGGGGCTTATTGAATTTGTTATAAGTAGCGATTTTGGTGAATTGTGGAGGATTTGAAAATATTTGTATTTTAGTGTTTGTATAAAATACAATTATCATGACATTAGGTCTTGATTTCATAGAAAATTACTTACAAATATTGGTTCCAAATTGTAGTCTAATTATTGTTGTAACTACCATTTTACGGTATTGTACTTATTATGTGATTGATGATAAAAGAACTTTTACATCTTGCCGTTTCATTAGCCAAAATGATTTGTAAATATGTCCTTGGACTTGTCTTTGCAAAATTTGCTCATTCTAGCCATTTTGGCTTTGTGTATTTAATAGACTTTGTAATTCGTGTTAGAGATGTATTGTACTTATGGAATTGAATAAGATTTTTTACTTTTGTAATATTGCAAATATTGTTTGTAAAAAAACTGTTAATATAATAAAATTAAGAATGTATTAATCATAAAAATGTCTTTCATTTTTTATTATTTCCTATCTTGTAATATGAGAAAAAGATATAAATGAATAAAATCAAACTTTGGTATAAATATAGAAATTTGAAATAAATTTATCCATTACGAATGAAAAAGGCCCCCTTTAAAAAAAAGAAAAAACGTTAAATTTCTCATAAATCTGTTTTAGCTGTTGAACTGTTTCGTCTTTTTTTAATACAACTTAGAATGGCAAACAAGCTGACGGCCCACCTGATGGAAAGTGGTAACAGTCGCCTATAGACATGAGCAATACTATGGACATAACAGTGTATACTGTTTCGCCCATGATACCTCCCATGCGTTGCCATTCCTGAAGACTCAGATGTTATTCCTCTGTACCCTGTAAATTCACGCCATATCCCAACCTTCAAACCGAAACACTGCCATTCAAACACAACTGCTTCACGGTAGAAACACGAATCGTCTCTTTTGTGTAAATTCTCAGTTTAAATGAAAGTTATAATACAGTGTAAGAGTTTGTAGGTTTTAGTTCTTTATTAATAAGAGGGATAGCCAATATATATATATATATTGAATATCGACCAGAAACGGAACTTTTCTACTATATATTGACTCAGAACTTGGAGTTCTGGATTGTGCCCCAAGATGTTTATTGTCCGGTTCTTCATAACCATAACAGAGGATATCCTAGCTTCAGAACCAGTTGCTTGGTGTGACTGCATGACACTTATTTCTTATTATTATTATAACAAGTTAGTCAAGAGATTATTTTAGTAAGGAAATATTTTTTCAAAAATGTTTGCTGGTGATAAATATGTTGTTTTAAATATTTTCTTATTTTATTTTACATTATTATGAATTTCAAATCCCCATAGTATTCATTATATTTAAAAGTAAAAGCATGTAGAAAGTCATTCGAATATACAAAATATCGACTACAGGATCGATATTACATATCGTCATAGTCGTAGAATACTGACGGATCTGATAAATATTACGTATAAAGATCCATCGGTATTCTACAACTATGATGATATATGGACTTATAAACATATGATACTGATATAATAGAGTGATATTAAAGACAGTGGCGTTTTTTTAAATTTCTCGAAAAGGACATATTAGTGAAACTGAATATTTTCTTCAAAGCAACACGAGTTGAACAAAAAAAATTTTTTTCATACTAATTTGATAACTTTATTTAGTGCAGAAGGGTCAAAATGTTTTGTAGTTTTTTGTAACATATTTTTTGATAATAATATTTAGTTCCATTGATAAAATGCTTTCTTAAAGGGATTCTGTTATTGCATATCCTTACTAATATATAAATGCAAAAGAGAGTTTGTTACCTCATAGCGAATTAACAGTTTAACCAATAATTAGGAAATTTGAGATACTATATGGTATTGAGAAGGACATAAGTTGGTTTTATTTCGGTCAATGAACATAATTCGGTCACGCAGACGAAGTCATCGGTAAAAAGCTAGTAATATACATATAATGGAATCAAGTAACTATCAAGTATAGTAATATAACTTTTTGAATTACATTATGCAATGTAAATATAATGACTAAAGAAAATATGAAATTTTTTGGTAAGCAAGAGCCTGTTTCAAAAACCTATCATATATTTAAGTTTTTGTAAGGGGACAGCGCGAACGCAGTCCCCCACTACCAAAAATTGTACTCCCGAGTTAACCGCATTTGGGTTAATCGCAAGGGTCAGCCCAGCCGTAGTGCAATGGTAGGGCCTCGCCCTGGAGGAACCTCCTTCTTGATCAAGGTATCCCCTACGCCAGGTAAGTATGATTTGGTTGCGTCGAGCGAGGGAGGTCATTCGTAGCGAGAACATCTTAATAGCGCGATGTAGAAAAAGATGTAAATATTACAGCGACATCTATCGATATGTTTGGTTAAGAGAAGCATGAATATATTTTATAGCAACAAGAGCACGTGCGTTGTTGAACGGCAAGTGTGCTTATTTAATACTCCGATATCGTGCTCCATTATGTTACTTTTACTACTAGTATAGTATTATATTATCTGTGCTCTTACTCTATGTTTGATTAATAATTTCTCATGTGACACTAAAGAGTGCACTTTAACTAAATTTCATCATATCAATCGATTTGTTCTAGCTACTTTACATCACTGGATGTAACTACAAAGGAAAATTTTGTTTCTGAAACGTCGTTGCCCAGAAAATACGTAACGTTATAATTGCAAATAACGACGGATTAGTCTTAAGTAATAGCAATATATTTATATAACAGTGCACAAACAGAACAAATATAATTCTGCAAGATTACACCTATTGTTAGTAGGAGAAATATGCATTGGTTTTGTGCTGTTATTGTTCTCTTCAATAATACTGGGATTAATTGGAGTTTTATAGTTTTTTATTTTCTTTCTTTTAATTAATATGAAGTTCATGATGACTATCGCCATTGTGATTAACAAAAATGTGAATGGATAAAATTACAATTTTATTCAATTACAGTTTTTTTGTGAACTTAACTTTTATTTGAATGAAAAAGCAATAGCTGTATTTCTTACCTGTTTTTTTTTTAGCTAAAATAGCATAAAGAACTAGGTAAACAAGGTAGGTAAACAATGAAAAGGTTAACTTCAATAAAAAAACATTTATTATTAATAAAATAGAAATTTAATTTATTATCAGAATTGGCACGGTCTGATGACAAAGATATATATAAAGATATACTTTATATGAATATACCATGCCATATCAGCCGTTAATTGGCCACTGCTGTACTTAAGTCTTTCTCTTTTGGGTGGTTTTGTCAGTAATTGCCACGCTTATCAATAAGCAAAGAATTCATTCAAATCGTATAAAGCATTCTCATCATATTGTCTCATGGGTACATTTCTAAGATGAACATCAGGTTTAATTTTAAATAAACATGAATAAATTTAATTTCTTTTTGAGTATAAACATATGCTACAGTAAGTATGTGATCCAGCTGGAGTATTAGTATAGCAGAGTGGGTATTAGTGGATTTTATAAAAAGCTATTAAAATTGTCCGTTTTACAACGTGAGTATCCTTTTTGACACTCGATGGTTCAAAAAGTAGGCTATAATTGAATTATGAAATCCATTTATAGTTGTACCTTGTCCTAATATTAAGAACTTGTAATAAAAAAATACATTTATGAAACACTACATTTGAAGGGTATTATAACTGTGCTCAAAATAATAAATCAAATTTTTTACATCGCTGTCACATTTGGACAATTCAAATATACATAACGGCACTCATTTGTTTTATTTTTGATAGATGCATTAGAGCTGTTTGCCACATGGTATGCGCTCCGTAAAAAAAAATATGAAGAAATTAATATGACATTTAGAACTAACATATATTAATCAAAAAACAAAAGAAAAGATCATATTAACTGAGAATCTCATTGATGAAGTTGCTACAATATAGTATACAATATCTACGGATGATTTATACACCACACACTAAAGATTGTTATTAGTTAATTTTAAAGGGGACAGCGCGAACGCAGTCCCCCACTACCAAAAATTGCTCCCGAGTTATCCACATTTGGATTAATCGCAAAGGTCAGCCCAGCCGCAGTGCAATGGTAGGGTCTCACTCTGGAGGAACCTCCTTGTTGATCAAGGTATCCCCTACGCCAGGTAAGTATGATTTGACTGCGTCGGGCAAGGAAAGTCATTTGTAGAGAGAAAATCTTAATACTGCGTGTTAGGAACTAACGTAGCGACATCTATCGTCAAATACTGAAATGTGTATTCTTCTCAAAAACTAAAGGGATGTGAAACTATTCAATTTCATAAATAGGAATCGTAATTATTCTTTTTGGCTTAAACTTCATCGTATACTGCTTACTGTGCAGCTTATTTTAAAAAGTTTGTAATTCAATTCCTTACAAATATAGAAATAGTCGAAGCTTCGTATTTTTTAATTACATATGAGGATTATATTATATTATCTCTCGGAGTTCATAACGTTTTTTTTTCAAACTACAATAATAAAATACTGCCTTAAAAATTACTGATAATTAATATTTCATTCAACAAAGGTGATATCAAAGCTACTCTATATTGTATACACTATTTAATGCAAAATTTACTATAGAATTGTTTATCTACCTGAGACAAGAAGACTCTCCTTCAGTACGATGGGGTGCTTGTATTTTATATTATAAAGAAACTATTAAACATCCAGATATTAATGTAATTGACTAGTTTTTTAACGTGAATATATATGATTCATATCTCTATATTAAGAAATAATAGAATTTAATTGTGCCTCCGATCAATTTATAATTACTCCTTTCTATCCAAAGGTTGGCTGGAAGAGATTGCTTTTAGCGATAAGGTCGCCCATTGTTTTCTCATTGTCATTATTTCTTGTATATGTTTATATTTATAATAAGTTTACTATTGTAATATTTTGGAGGAAACAATAAAAAGTATCTATCTATCTACATATATAACGATACATTAAAATAAAAATAAAAATGTTTTTACGCTTCATAAACTTGGATTACTGGTCGAAACTCCAAACTGTCTGTGGGTAACAATAAGTTCATTTTAAAGCCCTTATAGGCACATGGTATACAGCTGTGGGAAAGTGCATCTAAACATAATATTAATATTGATCAAAGAACTCCATTATCAAATAATAATGTTATTTAATAACAATAAGTTTTTAGTGAAATTGATATCATCGCTGTAAAACCTTATTTGTATAAAAAAATAATAATAATTGACCCTTTATTACACCCAAAAGAGATGTATGCAAGGAGTATTTATACAGAATGTTCATATGTAGTACAAAAGGCGACCTTATCGCCAAAAGCAATCTCTTACAGACAACCGCTGATTAGTTAGTTTAGATAAACAAAAATTAATACAAGGTACTGTTAAAAAAATAATATAAATGACCTGTAATTAATGTCTTCTACTATTGGTACTAGTTTGTTTTATTTTTGTATAATTAAACAAAATTAGCAAATTTATAC